TTTGAATTTAAACGTTCTTGTCATTTTCTAATAGGAAAAGGTAGTACTTAAAGAAGTTTTAAAACATATCTCTGCCTCCCTCTATTCTCAAGCTTTGAAAATGATACTATTTCATGAAAATCTTATTTCAGGTGCTCTTCACATAATGCTAAATTTGGCAAGGAAAAACTGATATTGCAATGATTAAAGAAATAAAAGTGTCTCCATATTTTAAATAGTATCCAATGGTGAACTGAGTAGCAGAACCTTGGAGGAGGTTGAGGCTGTTCATGATTAACTAGGCTTATTGTTCTAGGGCATGCAGAGCCTGCTTTCAGTATGCCTTTGGATAAGATGTGGCCTGGTTCCAAATATGGTTTTATGCACATCCGGTGTTTCCAAACAGATTGAATGTTAGGACAGCAATGGAACCGAAGAACTAACTACTAAGATATTTTAAAGTGGGGCAGCTAAAGAACAAATTTAGCAAGTGCATCAATCAAACAATTATGATTTAAGTATGAACAAAATGGGTTAGAAAGATGAATGCAATACTGAATATAACTTTGCACCTCTTGTACTACGCCAATTTTAGTAGGGGTTTATCTTTGAGTATATGACTTAAAGTAATATCTCAAATAAACTATCAGAAAATATTAAAAGTGAGTAGAACAAATTATGTTTTGCTTTCTTTCTAATTTGGAAAGAGACTACTGTCTCTAATGTTCTAGCCTAAATGGACTTGGTGCATTGCACAGTTGGAGTGAGGGACATAGGAGAGAGGACATAAGGAGTGGGTGGGGAGAGAAGAGGGATCCTGCACAACTCTGAGATCTTTCCATTTAGTTCTGTGAAATCACAGGGTGTTTATAACATTTTTTTTTCCTGTTAGACACAGACCCGCAAGGCAGCATACAAAATATGTGAAAGAAGCCTACAGTTTAAAAAAAATGTTGGAGATTTGATTACTATATCGCCCCAGCTCTCTGTCAAACACAGAGATAATTAAAGGGTGCTTGTGAACACTGGTGGTGACTAAGAATGCCGCCACTGCTGAGAAAATTACGTCCTGTGAAATGGCTTCACAGTTTGGCTCCACTTCAAGGATAGGGTGTACAAGAATAAAAAGGGAAATAGCTCTACATACATTTCCTTCATTGCTGTGACTTACTGCCTACTGCATGTTGGCCCTTTGGCTTTTATAGTTTAAAGCAAGGAACATAAATTCAGTTATATTCTGTTGACCCAAGGAATCATATAAATACAAACTGCAAGCTGTATTTTCTTTTCTTGTTTTGCAACTAACATATTACACTTTCCTATGTTAAAAATATGTATGGTGGGATGGGGAGACACCTCGGTCATCTGAGTGCCTGCCTGGCAAATGCAAGGACCTGGCTTTGATCCCTGTTATCACATGCTGTGTGGGCGCTGGAACCAGGAGATGTGGTACAGGCCTGTAATCTCGGGCTGGGGAGGCTGATACAGGAGGATCACTACGAGTCTTGTGCTCTGTAGCGAGACCCTGTATCCAATAAATAAATAAATAAATAAATAAATAAACAAACAAATAAATAGAAAAAGTATGGTGTACTGAAATCTTTCCTTGGCTTTATAACTACTGCAAAGATAGCTAGGAAAAAGCAGCTATCGGTATTCCACAATTTTTAACTATGAACTGTTTTCTCAAAATATTGTAAGTAGATAATCAGGATGCAGCAGAATTTATCTTTCTGTGAGTTTAAATTCTAGGGATTTGATGTGAGTCTAAAATTAAGGTTGATGTTACTGTTTTTGTGTGAAGCCCATGTGCATGGGAGGTGAGAAAATAAATTTCTAATATTTTTCAAGTGTGTTTCAAAGCAAGATAAGGGTGTGTTTTTTTTTTTCCCCCTAATATTGTACAGTGACCATATTCAGGTCAGAGAAAAGTGATCTCCCAAGTTGTCTGCAGTCTGCACTTTGACTTCCTCCTCTTGGCCTAATTTAAATTTAGTCTAGGTATTTCAACAGCTAGACTAAGCCTCATCACCGTTTAGCTGCCAAATCCAGTGGCTGCCAATACCACTACTAGCTTTTTAAGTACACCTGTTGCCAGCGCTATGTTTGAGGAAAGAAGGCTGGACCTTTTTGTTCTACTCCAGTGGCTAGGATCTCTGTCAAAAAGAGAATTATTTTTACTATCACTTCATCATTCTTCCTTAGAAAAATATTTCTTTTCCTACCAAGCTTCTCTCTCTGCGGAGAAATTGCATTTACACTGAGTCTGGTATGTAACATCTGTTTTGGATTAGCTTGTGGAGGAAAAAAAAAGATTTTGATAATCAATACTACCTCTAAATTTTGCTTGTGTAGGGCCAGCAAAGCTTACAAACAAACAGAAGCAAAAAAGGAACAACAACAACAGCAAATTCATGAAGACTTTGGGTAAAGGAGGAGTTTTCAGGATAATCAAATACTACTAACAGAAAAGTCTGATAGTTAATGAGATGTGTTGCATGTCAATTAAATATAGATATGAAGTAGTCCAAATGAAGGACTATAATTAATGTGTTTGATGGAACCACAGCAACATTTTTGGAGTAATTTTGGTAGAGAAATGAATAGAAACCCGTTTAAAACCGGCTACTGCTCTAATAATCCTTGGATAAGGAGCCTCTCTGGGCAGGCTACTTACATTTCCATTAGCATTTGCTCCTGGCCAAGAGGCCAGAGGTTTGGATGAATATTCCATATCTACTAAAAACGTGATATAAAGTTGCAAACAGAAATGCAGTGGACTGGGTTTTGAGGGTTTCCAACCTTTGAATTAGTGCATTATGATTTAGCTGTAGTAACAGTTCTTTAAAGTGACAAAATAGAATTCAGATTATTTTAATATTTTGCACATAATATAGCAACTGACAAGTTTCTTCCTAGATAATAAAGTCCTTGTAGCTAACATGTCTTCGGGAACTCATTTTGATCCATCCGATCATTAATCAGTGTTCACATAGTATATGCGTTTTGCTTGTATCAGTGGAATACCTAGTTTGTGGATGGATGTGTACTTTATTTGAGTGGGCTGTCTCATTGATCACATATCAGTCCATAAATTCTAACAGGTAATGGAAAAGATAGCAAGTAGAACCTTACCCTGTCTCTGGCCTCAGACTGAAATGTCTTCACCCTGACAACATCAGGTTGTTTTTCCTGCAAAGCGAGCCTGTGCATGACTCACACAGCACTGTTCTTATTTCACTGACTGATTCGATTTGGTGTGATCGGGAAGGAGATCCGGTCAACTGCCAAAGACTGCCTTCATCTTTACTCCTTCCTAAACCCACATTTACCATATCAGCAAGTCTTGCTGGTGCTCTTAGAATTACCTCAGAGCCTGAGCATTCTTACTACTGCTGTCAGCACTCGGTCTAAGTCAATGTATTTGGATGGACCATTACTAGAGTCTCCCAACTGCTAGGTGCTCCTACCCTTCAGTCTATTCTCCACAGTGCAGCTTGGTCTTTCCCAACTCAGTTTGGCTTTGCCCCTCCTTGAGCGGCTCTCCATTTCATTTAGAATACGTTCTGAAGGTGTCAGGGTTGCTGCTCTATCCCCTTCTTGTGCCTTACCCTCTCTTCTGATTTCACCAGCTAGCCTCCTAGTGCTCTTGGTTTTAGCTCCTTTGACCTCTGGGCTATTTTTGCAAACATGCCAACTCCACTTCCACTCAGAGTCTTTGCACTTGGGCTCCCTATGTAAGACGCTCTCTTTCTGGACAGCTACTCATCTCTTTTCTCCCTTCTCCAGGTCTCTTCTCAAATGTCAGAGAGGCCTTCCCAGATAAACATTTAAAATAGCACTCTCCCTCTCAGTCTCCTTGCCTAGCTTTATTTCTCTGTGACTCATCATCTGATATAGTAAGTATTTACTGGATTTTTTAACTTTTGCCCTTTCTCACGATAATGTGAATCGTATGGGAGCAGGGACTTTGCGTGTTGGCAAATAGTCGTAACTTCCTTCTCTAGCACATTTATGAATACTTCAGTCTCTTGAATCAGTCTTCAGAAGCTGAATGATCTTTTCTTAAAATTTAACTTTCCACCTCTTAATTCCATAGATTTGACACTTTAAATGTTTGAGCTACATACTTAAATCTTTGTTCTAGTCCCTTTGCTAGGGAAAATCAAAGTAGTGACTTTGGAATAATAGCAACTATTTTAAAAAGCATTTCTTACAGCAGTCTCTGTTTAAGCACTTTGCATTATCTTATTTATTTCTATTTGTAACCCCAAAGATAGGGGCTGTTACTATTTATTTTTTACGGACAAAGACACTGACACTTGGAGAGATTAATTTGCTGTCAGGTCGCAAAGTTAATCACTTAGCTGAGATTACCCTTGAGGTCTGACTGACTCCGTACTGGTCTCCTAGCAATCTGCTCCAGAAGTTTATTTCCAGTTATTAAAGCAGTGAAGCCCATAGACTTAAAGCATTGTTTTGCAATCACATGTGATAGGATTCTGGAGAATAGGTGTGCATATGTATATGGGAAATATTTATGTATAAATATGTATACCTCATCATTATATAAATACATATATATTTTAAAGGTCCTGCAAAGCACACTAGGTAGGTTGCCTTTTGGAAACGCCTAGAAAGCCACTTAGCCAGCCTGAAAAAAAAAAAAACAAAAACAAACTCCCCCCCCTCAAAACCGCCTTTCTGCTTCATTTACCCTGCGCTAACGTTAAGCAAAGAGGCAGATTAATGCACTTGGCAAGAGGACAGGATCAAAACCGAGGTCGCTCACCGCTTCCAAGAGAGGGCATAAAAATACATCCGAAGAAAACCTAAGTTCTTACAAAGCATCAGACCCTCTCTTGGGGCAAGGTGGCTCACCGCGGGGAAGAGGTCTAAGAGGCGAAGCCGCCGGCAGGAGAGAGAGGGCTGGAGGGGACCAAGGCCGCTGCGCGGCGGAGGCGGTTCCGGCAGGCAGGGGGCGGGGCCTAGGCACGCCCCGCCCCTCTCCTCGGGGATGCCGGGATGTTTACACGCCTGACAGCGGCGGCCGCGCGAGGAGGAGAGGGAGCCGCGGGAGGATGGGCCGCCTCTAGGTTCGCTCTGGGGCCGCGCCTCGCCGTGCGCTGGGTGAGTGCCCGCGCCTGCAGTGGCCGCGGGGGTGGCGCGGCGGAAGGTGGCCGACCGGCTCGGGGCCGCGCTGTCTCGCCCCAGGCCCAGTGGGCCTTTCCGCGGCGGCGCCGGGCCGAGCTTCCCGCTCGCTCTGAGTCTCTCGAGGGCGGGAGGACGGAACACTCGCAACTTCCTGGTGAGTCTCGGACTGGGGACCGGGGGCCGGGCCGGGCTGCCTGGCCGGGCGGGGGTGTGCGCGCGGCCGGCGGGGAGTGCGAGCCGGACCGGGACGGTGCGGC